GCAAAATGTTAACTATAAGCATCATTCCTTTACTTCTTATCCATACAACTGGAGCATTTCAAATGCAAAACAGAACATTCAGGTGCCGGGAAGAAAAACGTAAGGCAACTATGTTCCTTGAAAAAAATCTCACTGATATTAAGGAGATTTTCATCTCTATTACCTATGGAGATGAATTCTTTTACTGGCATGGTCACACTGGATTCCATATTGGCGTGTCAGAAATACTTGATCTGGAAACAGATACATTGAGGCTCAAATATGTGAGGATGTTAACATCAGGGATGGGGATACTTGGCCCTTTGAAAGTTTGTATTTGTGAAGGCTTTCATGGCTGGGTTCTAATGGTTGTTGTGGGTTTTTTGGGCTCTTTGGCCATGTTCTGAAGGTTGTTCTTCCTAATGTTTCACCAGTCTCTGTGGCCGGCATCTTCAGAGGACAGGAGTAGCACTCTGTGCTCTGCGGCAGTTTGTTTGGGAGTTGAGTATTTATAGCTGTTGGATCAGCTTTGTCCTTTTCAGGAGATGGGTGATTATGGTGATCAGTGTGTTTTTGTTGTGGGTGTATTGTTGTGATAAGGAGATATTATCTGTCACTGTGATTGATGGGTGTCATTAGCTGGTCTTTTGTCTGTAGTGATCGCTGGTCCTTGTGGCTGGGTAGAGTTTGTTGACCTTTTGCAGGCTGTATTTTTCAGTGCTGGGAGCCAAGCTTGGTTGAGTTTTAAACTTTCTTCTTTTTTGTTGAAGATCTGCTGGTGTCTGTAGATATCAATGGCTTCCCTGTGCAGTCTAACATAATGATTGCTGGTGTTGTCCAGTATTTCAGTATTTTGAAATAGAATTTCATGTCCAGCTTGTTTTAGGGCATGTTCAGCTACTGACGATCTGAAGATCAGTATCTGAAGATGCCGGCCACAGAGACTGGCGAAACATTACGAAGAACAACCTTCAGAACACGGCCAAAGAGCCCGAAAAACCCACAACAACCTTTGAAAGTTGTTAGACTATAACTGTTGTTAGCCTTTGCAAGGATTCCTCTCAACTGAGGATTTCTGGAACTATTGTCTGGCAACATATGGGAAGCTACTGGAGAAGCAGCATCTGCAAAGGTAGGTAAGTGGGAAGAGAAGACCTCTCTCCCCCTCATTCAAGTAGTGTATAAAACCACAAGATAACATTACTTTACAGGTGCACAATGTAGTATCATGGTTGCTCAATTCCACACAGAGATGCCAGATCTCTCTTTAAACTAAATGCTTTAATAGAGAAAAAAAAATACAAAATCTCTTTCCTGAAAGCAGAAATATTCAATCCTCTCTCAGAATGAAATAAAAAAATTACTGTCCCTATCTCACCCATCCCCATTTCCATGCTCACGCTTGTATTAAAACCTCACAAAATCTTTATTTCCATATTCAGTCAAAAACATCCAAAATGGACAGAGATGAATCTTCTCACAATTAATGATATACCAATATAGTTTTCCTGTCCTCTGGACACCACCCATACATTTATCTGGACAAAATATTTTGGTGAAATGAAATGAGTCCCTTTCATTGGGAGCTAAAGCATGTTACTACAAATTCAGCGATGGTTTGCTAGTTCCTTTCAGCAACAAAGCTATTTATTATCTCATCGGCCATCTAGCATTTTGAATCAACGCTCGTTCTGCGAGGCACCACTGTATTATCTCATCAGCTATCTAGCATTTTGAATCAGCATCACAGTGCAACCGGATTTGGGGGGCCCTCCTTCAATTTCTGATCTGGAACCACTACAAATGTTAAAACTGATGTAAAGAATCAAATCCCAATTGTATCCTTCTGCTGAGACTAGAACTTTTTCATACATTCTAAAATAAAAATACCATGGCTTGGATCCACATTTTGCTCCTGCCAGTAGAAGATGGGGAGCCAGCATTTACCATTTATCATACTACATGCAGCTGCTTGCACCCTCTGAAAATCTATTCCGGAGGACTTGCAAAGCCTTCTGGAACAGTGCAGAAAGTAGCATCAGGGACCAAGAAGCAGTGTGTGTGTCTGTGTGGCAAAGTGAACTGGCAAAGGTTGTCCTACCAGCAGAATCCCTTTACTAATCAAAACCATTTTGTGGATGAAAGGAGCTTGGATCCTACTCCATACCTTTCACATCAGCAAGCTTCACTACTGCCCGTTATTTTAAACATTATTGTAATGTTCCTTATCTTGGGAACACAGCCAAACAAAATATTTTTTTTCTAAGTTGGCAAGGATTCTGGTTCCATATAAACTTCAGTGAGCAAACTGTTGATTGAGCTAAAGAGTCAACAGATACACTCTGAAGCCTCTGACAAAGGAAGTAGAATGTGTTGACTGATGCAAGACACTTAAGTGCAAATGCCCAGTTGATGATTTTAATTGTTTTGACCATGTTTGTGGTTATTCCTATATTGAGATATTCTACATTGCTGACTATCCCCCATCACTTCTAGTCCCTGCAGTACTAGCAAACAACAATAATCCTGTTGTTCTATCTTTCTTTCACTTTTGCAATAATGCAAAATACCAGAGTGGACTTGATTTAAATCAAACTGATTTAATCAATCACAGTTTTTAAAATTTAAATCATGATTTGAATCAAACTGGTTTAAATCATGATTTAAATTTTAAAAACTGTGATTTTTAAATCAATCTGATTTTTAAAAATCATTGATTTTTATCCACTCTGCAAAACACCTTCAAGTACAGTATTTCAATTATTTGGGACATGTTCACCAATGGGAGGGGAAAAATTCACAGTCAATTATATATAATCTCAGTTTATAATAAACTCTGGCTTTAAACCCCACCCCCCACCCCCTTTCCATTTTCTTATACAGTTAATGTTCCTGATTCTCTTGTGCAATTCCAGTCACTAAAAGAAGGTTACAGGCCATGAACTGTACACTAAGTACATTATTTATCTGTCCAGTATATACACCAACCAGTTCACTGGACGAGCCATCCGCAGGAGCATTGCAGTAAGTGTTCCGGATGTCCCAAACCCGAACAGAGTTGTCCATTGATGCAGAAGCGATCAAGCTACTGTCCGGACTAAACGTAAGGCTGGTGATATTATCCGTGTGCCCTCTCAGTTCTTTGTAAAGCGTGCCAGATGCCAAGTCCCACAACTTTAAACGCTGGTCTTCACCTGCTGAAGCCAAATACTTACCATTTGGAGAAAACGCAAGTGACAGCACAGGGCCCCGGTGACCTGTGAAAAGGCGGACTGTGTTTCCTTGCTGAGTACTCCAGAGCCGCACTGTTTTATCTGTGGATCCCGTTGCCAAGTAATTAGAATTGGGATGAAACTTAATGCAGTCCACATCTGCCAAATGGCCTGCATATATACGCAAAGGATACGTCCGATCAAATGACCAAAGCCTTGCCGTGCGGTCATGGGAACCGCTTGCAAAGTACAGGCTGCAAGGACTGATGTCCAGATCCCACACTGGATAGGCATGCCCTTGGTATAGCACCGTGTTTGTGAAACTGCCAAGATCCCAGTATCTGATAGAGGTGTCTTCTGAACACGACAATAGACCCGAACTGTCTGACAGAAACCTTGTGCTATACACTGGTCCACAGTGCCCTCTTAGTATCTTCATTTCTGTACCCACGTTATCATCCTCTTCATCCTGTGGGGAGGAATAAAAAGATCACAGTTCTTTCATGTACTGGTGAAAATTTGCATGTATTCCTCAAAGATTTCCTCTACAAGAAATGCAGCAACAGGGAGTGTGCAACACTTACTGCCTTTTCAATGATTCCTCCTACTGTCTCTTGTGGATACCAAAGTACTTCAACTTCCAGAAGCACTAGGAATAGTCTTATATACTAGAACTTAAAGATTTTTTTCTTTCCTAGCCACAACTATAAACCAAAAACATCTTTTAAGAGCTAACTTTGCTGCTCTTATTTTTCCCCTCAATAAATTACCTTGTTTACTTATTTACTTAAAATATTTTTACTCTGCCGTTCTCCTTAAAAGGACATAAGGCCTTATATTTCCCATGACTGCATCCAGACTTTGGACAGTTTTTGCTTGCATATATTCCTTTGCCTATTCCCCAAAGGTCCTCCACTACACACCTTCCCGGCCGGTGCCTGTAAGTGATTTTAATGAACTTTGCCAATGACTGCACTTGCTGTTACTGCTGTTCCTAAGGCATTATTCTTCTGGGAGTTTCTTTTCCCCCCTGTGGTTTTCTTCTTCTTCTTTTAAATAAATGACATTTGAGCATTTGATATATGTATCCCAGCTCTCTTTTTGTTGCCATCTTGGTATTTTATTTCTCTGTTAGCATCTAACAAATAACAGCATTTGAATATATGTATCCCAGCTCTCTTTTTGTTGCCATCTCGGTATTTTATTTCTCCATCTAACAAATAATAGCATTTGAGTATGGCTTTTAGAGGAAAGCAGGGTATAAATAATATATAGAAATACTACTTCAAAATGGATAAATAAGTATAAAGCACACTTGCAACAACAATGCAATTGCCCAGAATATTCTCACATCTACTAATATTTATTCCTTCAAAGACAGTTTGTCAAGTTCCACTGTTCAAGGAACTCTAGCCCTACATGGGCAGATGTTACTACAGCACCATGCTGAATTTCCCACTCCCAAACCCCAGTAAAAACACCAACACAGATCAGGAAAAATTAACAATCAAAGAACCCTGGGGAAAGTAGTACTTCTAAACTATGAAACCTGCTTAGCTATCAGTGCTACAGCAAAGAAACAAACAATTATTATGAAAGCAATGTTATACTCATTTATTTTATTTTAAACTTCTGACACACGGGGGTTCCAAGAGTGCCAGATGCTGTAGTATAGAAGTAATAAAACCAGTGATTTTTTAAAAAAAGTTTTGCATTCTTTTACTTTATTGTTGGCTTTTTAAAAAAAAAACAAAAAGGAGCAAACACTTACTGTTCATTTGAAATTAAAAGATTTACTTTATCTTAAGATTTCACGGATTACAGTCTATCTCTACAGAATAAAAGAGTACAGTATTCAAGCCACAGTCTTAATGTAAGCAGCTATTGTCTGGAATGACATGTTGTATCTCAGAATACTTCTGTAAAAAAATAAGAGCATCCTGGCAGACTGCCATGTGCTCTGATGCTGTCCACGTTACCTTCCCGCCACAAGTTGTCACATCACAGAATTGTAGAATTACAGAGCTAAGAGGGTCCTCAAGAATTACAGAATGCAACAAACTGCAGAAAGGAGGAAAGCTGACATTTCTGATATGAAATTCTGTGTACAGTGGTGCCTTGACTTACGAACTTAATCCGTATTGGAACGGTGGTCGTCAATCAAAACGTTCGTAAGTCAAAGCAGCATTTCCCATAAGAATGCACTGAAAACCGATTAATCCGTTCCGGCTGTTTTCTGTCCTTATGTCAACACACGGTCCGTATGTCAAAGCATTAGTTCCCACATTATAGCTTTCATAGCTCAATTGCTGAAGATTCCTGTTAGTATTCTGTATGCTTCTATATATAACCACAAAAACTGCACATCTGAACAGTATACATACAAAGCATTGGGCAATTAAGAACTTTTGTCTCCATTGTAGTTCTTCTTCACCTGCAGCTATTCTAGGTAAGTGGGTATAGAACTGCAGCCTAAATGTGTCAGAAGATCCATGTGGGTGGAATCTAGCTACATCTGATTTCCTCCAATGTTGACTCCATGTTTAGGAACATTCACCGATTATGAGAACTACACTTAAACTACCTTTGAACACCATTGTAGTGCAACTACAAGGGCTTCATAAAAATTTCAGGCAGCTATTTGCCAAATCATAAAAAAACAGCAGTCAATAAACTGGGCAGTAGTTAATGATTTCTGTCTATGGACAGAAAGGATGCCCACCACAGATACGGTTGCTGCCCTCCACCATAGTGTGCTCCCTTACATTTGCTCCAGAAGGTTTGTGGATCTTCTGATGCAGATTTGCAGGAGGCAAAGAAGGAAAAGGGAGGGAAATCATGCTACTTAAGTGAAAATTTCTTGGCACTGTGTAAGATGGAACCTGCTGCATATTAGCTTCAACAAACCAGATGTGATCAATTACTGTGTGGTTAAAAAGGAGTAGCTATTTAGCCTGCTGTTAAACAATCTTGTACTGGATAGTGTGAAACAGGGGTATGCCGTTCATGATTTTTTTAATTGGGGGGGGGGCTTCAACCCTCAGAATGCCCCAGACAGAATTCTGAGAATTCCGGCCCACAGGCAGACACTTTCATTTTACTTACCTGGAACAGGGCCTGCCCTCAGAGGCTTTTGAGGCCGGTGTTCCCTGTTGTTAATACTCCAAAAAGAAAACTGCCCTGGTCCTTCCTGGGAGGGCTAGGTCTTCATGAGATCTGGGATTCTTTGGAATGATACCTTTACAGGACCTAATGGACAGTGAGACTCTGCCTCCCATGAGGCCTCCTAGGAAGCACAGGGCAGTCTCCTTTTTTGTATGTACACTAATGGCAGGAAACACAGGCCTTGGATGCCTCTGAGATAGGCCTTTTTCCAGGCAAGTGAAATGTAGGTGCCGACAGACGTGTGTCTCTGGAGAATTCTGGGAGCTGGAGTTCAAAACAAACAAACAAACATGATTGGAATAGCCCCAGTAAATCAAATATTCCTTTGGAACAACATGCCTGTTGAGATCTGCCTGGCTCCCTTGCTGAGGGCCTTCAAGACTAACTTGAAGACATGGCTATACAGGCAGGCCTTCCCTACAGCTATTACCTAGCCTATCTCCTCTTTTCTCTTTTCTCTCCTCCTCCTCCTCCTTTTCCCCCTCTTTCTTTTTTCCTTTTCCATCTTTCATTAATCTGGATTTTATCTTAGTTAATTTTTATATTATATGTAAACCATCCAGAGTAGACACGTTCTAGATGGGCGGTATATAAATCTAATAAATAAGTTTTAAAAGAACATCCACCCTTACCTAAAACACTGAACAAAAGAAAACCAAAGTTATTGCACCTATCATGATTTCATGACTTCCATTACTATCAGATCACCATTATTACTATCCTATGTCAGCTGCTCCCTTCATCCTTTTCCCAAACCTCCACTAAAAACTATTCAATTCATGATATGCTACCTTGTTTTCTACAGCTTACCTCTAACTATATGCAAATGAATTTCCTGTTGAAAAACACAAGCTGCCCCCCCTGCTTCCCCCTTGCAAGCCCCGGGTACATAACCCAAGCTTGTGAGATGATGCAGGTGTTGCACACAGAAGGGAGAATTCAGTCTACCAGCAGTGTCAATTCTATTGGTAGAAGTCCACAGCTGGATACAATCCTACACTTCTAACATTTGTGCGTATATTTACTTGCACAGACTACTTCTATCTCCACTTTTCTCCTTTTACCACATAGGATTTTATTTTTCTTTGACTCCTCTCCTTATTTCTCTACTAGGTCTTTGACATTATTCCCACAAGATGTTCTTAGCAGTAGAGTCCTGAGTGACAATTCTTTCTTGAACTATATTTCTAAGACCTCCAGGTATTCCCATCAAATGCAATGAGGATGATACATGCAAGACAGATGGCCTCTTAGGTGGTGGCAACCGATATGTGGAATGAGATGCTTGTCTGATGACCACGTGATGGTTTTTTGTAACTGTTAAAGGCCTTTTCTTCTTCTCAAAGACATGTAACTAATTCTTTAGATCACTGTAATCTTCTACTTTTTAATTTTATTTTCATTATGTTCTATTGTTTATATTTCTGCTGCTAGGTTTATTATATATTGTCTCTAACTATCATTTATGATTTGCATTTTATATTTTTATTGTTTGACATACTTCCCAAAGAAGTTCTGTTATTGTATAGTTTAAAAATAAAAAATATAGTAGAGTCCATCATCATATTTATTGCTCATTCTCAGGCAGAAAGGGAAAACCATACTTTACAAAAATTTTGAGAGATAAATAATTGAAATGTCTTGTGTGCCCATTTTAACACTTCCTCTGACTCAAAGAGTTCAAACCACCTCATTTCTGCCTTGGATAAATTTTGATACAAAATCTGAAGGATGACGCATCAGATGCATTTCCCATCTGTCTGCCCACTGTTGGCAGGTAGAAAGTGCCACGGAGGCTCTATGTTTCTGCTCATCCTAAAAGATAACAAAGCTTCAAGTAATGCTCACACAAATCAAATAAGGCCCTGTCTCTACAGATCTAAGCAAGTAATGATAAGCAAGATTCTCTCACCTCCTCATCCAGGACATCACAAGCTAGATGAATTCGGGACACATCTACCAGATGAGGCTCAGATTTCAGCTTCTTGGATCGCAAGCTCCATAGCTTTACACAGGAATTGTCAAAGCCAGCAGCAAGCAATTTGCTGTCTGGTGAGATCTCTGCTGTGTTCAGCAACTGCTCAGTGTTATAGAATGCATAGAAACATATGGTGGTGAGTGAAGGTGGACCATCTTTCACTCTCTTAATGCTATCCTGCAGGACATCCAAGGCTGCCTCATTTTGCAGGATAGAAGCAGGCATTTCAGTGGGTTCTAGGCCATTGCTTTCACTGCGTGAAGAGCCACCACTAGCATAGAGCTGGTAATCCATCCTCTTTGCTGGCTGCACATCTAAGTGAATGTGCAAAGAGAGGACTTTGCAGAGAGCACTGTTGTTGTCACTTTGGAGGTAGCGAAGTAGGAAGTTGTAGCTGTCTTCTTGAAGGTGGACAACATACTTATTGTCCAGGAATGCCCGGAGCTTGAAGTTGGACAGAATGTCCTGCATCGTTAGTGTGGTTTGTAATTGCTCAATAATGTCCTTTTGGCTGGCATTCTGCAAGAACATCCCATGGAAGCGACTATAGAAACTGTCCACTGTGCTCTTTAAGCCATTTTGGACCATGTTGAGATGGAGGTAGACAAAGAGGGGATACAGAAGAGACATGACTTCATGGCTGTGCTGGGAATCTGAATCTAAGTATCAAAGACAAAGAAACATCATTTTATACCACTCAGTTCTCAAAGAGAGCAAGTTGTTTTCTTTGTCAGGATGAGCAGCTTCAGGCTTGTAATATCTACTTCATCTTTTTACAAGATGCCTAAGATCCACCAGCAGGATACGTAGGACAAGAGACACATGCTTAAACAATTAGGAATTTCCTCTTATTAACAGAACTGAGTGGATCTCAAAATCAAACCGCATAAAAATCCACTTCTGGTTCCCCCAAAATTTCTTCATTTTACCAGTAAAATTTAAGATCTATGTGGTGACAGAGGCCCTTTACTGCCACTATTGTTACATAAGTGGGGAAAAAGACATTGTTTATCTACTTTAAATCACTCAGAAATCTACCAGTACCTACACATCTACCCCTGTATTTGCAGATTTTTTTAAAAAATCTGACAACACATGATATATAATACAGCTTTCAGATCATCAGGAGATGGACAGCAATTATTTAAAAAGTCCTTATATGATGCTCATACATGAGACTAACTACACCGTTCATACATGATGTATGGTGTTATATATAAGAAGAATTTACTGTATAATTAAAAAATTGTAAACCGCCCGGAAAGTGCTTGTAGTGCTATGGGGCAGTATATAAGTCCAATCAATCAATCAATCAATCAATCAATCAATCAATCAATCAATCAATCAATCAATCAATAAAAAGTCCTTATATGATGCTCATACATGAGACTAGCTACACCATTCATAAATGATGTATGGTCTTATATATAAGAAGAATTTAAGAACAAAGAGGCCCGTGGCACAGTGAGTAAACAGTAGTACTGCAGTCAAACCTCTGCTCACAACCTGAGTTCAATCCTGATGGGTTCTGGTAGCCGGCTCAAGGTTGACTCAGCCTTCCATCCTTCTGATGTTGCCAAAATGAGTACCTAGCTCACTGGGGGGCAAGTTGTTTGCACAATTATGTTGTAAACAGTAAAGAGAGTACTTTAGCACTATAGGGTGGTATATAAGCTGAAACATTAATAACATAACCAAGATTTTGAGGAACCATTTTTTTGGCACATAAACTCACAGGCATGGTGTCAATACAGAAGGAGAAAACACATGCTGATCATGTTTATTTTCAACATCTTCAATCCTGATGGGTTCTGGTAGCCGGCTCAAGGCTGACTCAACCTTCCCTCCTTCTTGAGGTTGCTAAAATGAGTATCTAGCTCACTGGGGGGGACAAGTTATTTGCACAATTATGTTATAAACAGTAAAGAGAGTATTTTAGCACTATAGGGTGGTATATAAGTTGAAACATTAATAACATAACCAAGATTTTGAGGAACCATTTTTTTGGCACATAAACTCACAGGCATGGTGTCAATACAGAAGGAGAAAACACATGCTGATCATGTTTATTTTCAACATCATCGTATTCCCCAAATATTATGCTTCATAATTTTATTTCAATTCTGACTTGCTTGCGGTCAATATAAGTATAATGGAAATTTGAAGAGCAAAGTGTAATGATTTCTGGTTAACATAATGTTCATTATAATCTGTCTACACATTCTGCTGCATTCATAGGGCCATTTCCTCCTCTAATCTGTCAGCTGTAAGTTCCAGGGTGGATAAGAATCAATGATTTTTAAAAATCACATTGATTTGAATTTTGATTCTTTTTATTTAAATCCTCAAAAACATCCAATTTTTAAATTTACAATGTGTATCCATCCTGGTGAGTTCTAATGACTGCCACTGTTCTAGAAGACAGAACGTGCTGGAAAAACAAAAGAGCTTGAAAGGATTAAGACTGGAATTAATGGATTAAAGTTACAAGAGAGGAGATTTCAACTAAATGTTAGGAATAACTTCCTAACAGTGAAACCCATTTAATAACAGAACTGACCACCATGGAGGGTGGTGGATTCTCCTTTATTGGAAATTTTAAAGCAGGGTCTAGATGGCCACCTATCAGGGATGCTGTCGATTTCCTGCACTGGCAAGAGCCCTGAGGAATTAATGGATTAAAGTTACAAGAGAGGAGATTTCAACTAAATGTTAGGAATAACTTCCTAACAGTGAAACCCATTTAATAACAGAACTGACCACCATGGAGGGTGGTGGATTCTCCTTTATTGGAAATTTTAAAGCAGGGTCTAGATGGCCACCTATCAGGGATGCTGTCGATTTCCTGCACTGGCAAGAGCCCTGACTCAAGGGCCTCCGGGGCTCCTTCCAGCTCTACAATTCTACGAAAGTAATTATAACTAAATACTAGTCTAACTAAAAGGGACCTAACTTCCTTTGTTCTCTTTACCACTCAACTTTTCTATAGGCTATCTTTAACTCAAGGGCCTCCGGGGCTCCTTCCAGCTCTACAATTCTACGAAAGTCTGATGTTGCCAATACTAGTCTAACTAAACTAGTCTAACTAAAAGGGACCTAACTTCCTTTGTTCTCTTTACCACTCAACTTTTCTATAGGCTATCTTTTTAAGTACTTTCCTTCCAGTGAAATACAGAGTATTTTAATACTGTATCAACATAACTTCTCCCCACGCAAAGGCTCTTAACAGCCCAGGATAAAAGTGCTGCCACACAGTGAACACACACACCATCTGTCGTTTCTAAAATGGGAGGATGCAACTCCACATTCAGAAAGAATGGCATTCTTAAGCCGTTCTTTCTTTGCAGTGGAGAAAAAAAAATTACATGAGAAGCAAACCGTCAGTTAGAAAAGTCCCCACAAGCACATATTTCCTACCGCGTTGCTTACCCACCTGTAAGAAAGTTGCGTAATCGTCCGAACTGTATTTCATATTGTTGTGGCTCTGCAAGGTACGGGGCAGCCGAGACAAGGTTTGCACAACCCGATTCGGATTGAACTAAGGGGGATAAACAAATTTTAAGTGAATCTGCTTCCAGATAGTTGAAGGATTACATATGACTATATTAGTTTTACACACTACAGTACTGAAGTAAAAAAGCTGTAGAATCTCCAGTGCTACCAAGTGAGCCCATGGGAGGGTTGTTCTAAAAGATGGCCCAAAATAACCAGGTACATCCATTCCCCTTATATTGGCTTTTACATATAAAACAAGATTCTCAAGGTCTCTGAAACTTCTTGTTCCTTCTTTAGTAGATAACAGACATTTTTCTCCTCAACACAGTGGTACAGACCTATTTAGGTACAGTGGTGCCTCGCATAGCGAGGTTAATCCGTTCCGGATTAACCTTCGCTATAGCGAAACATCGCTAAACGGAATTTTAAAAGCCATAGAAATGCATTGAACTTTGTTCAATGCGTTCCTATGGCTTTAAAACTCACCGTTAAGCGATGTTCTTCCATAGCGCCGCCATTTTCGCGCCCTCGGTAAGCGAGGGCAGGGCGCGAAAATGCGGCGCGGACCTTCCGGTGGCCATTTTGGAACCGCCGATCAGCTGTTCTCCCCCGCTTCGTTATGCGATATTCGCTAAGCGAATCGCTTAGCGAATATCGCAAAGCGAAAAAATGCCATAGGGGCCATCGCTGAGTGAATGCTCCAGCGATGGCCCAGAGCCCCTCGTTAAGCGATTTCATCGCTCAGCGAGGCGCTCATTAAGCGAGGCACCACTGTATTTTATGTTTGTAACTGTCAAAAGAGTCCTTTATAAAAATCCTCATGTGCTAGGAAAAGATATTTCAGTCCTCCAGAGTTGTGCTCTGTTACAGAATCCTCACAGACATAGATCAACAATTCTACAACATGGTCACCTATAACATATTAAGCAACATTTCCTCATTTCAAACATTTGCTATGTATATATTTTTTTCTACACACAAACAAAAAATTACTGGGATAACAATCTCCAAACAGATCTATCCATTTTTGTCAAGGATAGAGATAAAGGTACTTGCATATGAATGTCCCCGCACAGGTGGCAATAACGAGGGTCCAGCTGCATGGGGCTGGATGGTCTACTCACCGATCCACCACTGCTGCGGACGCTGCGATTCTTCCAATGGCTCTGCAGATTGCAATCTGAGAGCCACTCTCTGACCTTGCAGGGAGGCTTGTTCTCCTGCCTCCCACCAAGAGTGGCTAGCTGATCGTGATCTACGGAGCCATTGGAAGAATCGCGGCATCTGGGGCAGTGGCGGATTGGTGAGTGAACCGTCCGACCCCATGGCGTTGGACCCTCATTATCCTCACCTGTGTGAGGATATTTGTATTCATATACGAATACTCCCATCTCCAAGGATATTTTTTTATTCCCCACCCAATGTAACGTATTCGGGTAAAGGCACAAATAAAATTCGAGTATCGTTTTTCAGCAAACCCTAACATACTTTGGCTTGTCAGCAGGCTAATCTCATTACACAGAATGCTGAATTTTTTTCCGAGGGGTTGGGAATCAAAAAACACCCCGCATCACAAGAAGAGTTTAAAATTTGGCCTTATTTTATTCTACCTTTATTCCATTTTCTGCTTTCTCTCTGGACAGCAGACAGTTTAATATACTGAAATTCTCAACGAGGTCAGAAAAACATCGAAATACACTAGAATTCTCATTAGGAACAGAAAATACCCTACAACTCACACAAAGCATTTATTTATTTCTTACTTTCTTTTACCTAAGTGCATGAGGTTTAAAAATCTTTATTTTTAAAGTACTTGCATCTTCCTGTATAATGTAGGAAACATGAAACATAAGGATTTTTTTCTGAAAAGATGGAAAACTCCAAACTCATACAGCTTTGTTACATTTGTTTAATCTTGATAAAGATATTGATTATCCATCTGAGTTTTATTTTTATTTGTGGACCAACATGGCTGCCTATGGCTGGTTGACTCGTCATCAACAACCATAGGAACTTTGGTGTTACCTGACATTTCAAAACACAGTACTTTCTCCACTCAAGCCAGTTGTAAGTTCAATGGAGATAAGTCACCGATTATGGAATAATTAAATAAAGAGACATTGACGAGCAATAAGATTCAGTCCTGACATAATTTTTAAAAGTATGATTCAGCAATGAATTCTTCATGCTATTGGGCTAAATTCATAGAAACACATGAGGAAAGTGGCTGGCAGAAGACTCTTTAACTTATTTTTTGCAATCCCCTAATGTATCTTCTGAGAGCTGAAGGACTTTGCTGAATTGGTGTTAAGAGACTGTAGGAAGGGCAGATCTCTGAAAACCAGGCAGAGGCAATTTTTGAGAGCAGAGTCTCTGCCCACTTACCAAGGAATACCTCAAATATAAATCTTTCTATTTAACAGGGTCTCCTGACTCACAGGATAGACATTCCAGGGTAGATAAAGATTGGCAGGGAAGGAAAATAGGAAGACATCAGTTTAACGAAAGGTAAACAAAAATGGCTGTCCCCATTTCATCCAGTGATGATACTAATTTCTCTAACTGTTTAAAGAAAAGCAGTGACCAGATTTTCAATAAATTTATAAACAGCTGTATGGCAATACATACTAAATATATAAATTGTGTTTCTGGCCAAATGTACGGTATATTCCAACAGTGACTCAAATTGCACATGGCCAAGCCATATGATATGTAAGTTTCACTCATGCAAAGAGAAAATACAATTCAGTATAACCCTAAAGTAGAAAAACAGTATTAAAAACTATTTCTACAACAGAGATGTGGAAGCTCTGGTCCGTGGGCTAAATGCAGGTTGTAGGCTTCTTCAACAATCATGTCCTTTCAATGATAAGGAGGTATTTAAAATTAAGTAACTTGCTAGTACCTGAACTAAATTTTGCAGGCAAGAGAGACATTGATCAGGGCCTACTCCTGAGAAGACATGCAGAAAATGCAGTGATTAGTATCTCTGGTTGGAAAGAATTACATCTTCCTTTCCTGCTTTGCTTCCAATCCCATCTTCTATTTTTAGCCACACACACTGGTCAAATGCTGCCTTTCCCAATCCTTTCCAAACTGGAATTCAGCCCCTTAGCCCCCCCCCCAAAGTGGGAGCCCCACTTCAGTTTTGTATGTTTGAGGGTGATATGCTCTCCCCAAACTTGTGGAAGTATTATCTTCAAAATACACCTTTCAAAGCACTATTATCATCATCTGCAATCCAGATTCTTCCCAGTTACTGGCTTAAAATTTCATTGTACATTAAAAAACCTCCAGTGGACTTGTAAAAACATCTTTCTAGTTACCTGTTAGATTAGCTGCCATTTCTTCTGCAGTCTGACATAAGCGCAGCCCTTGTTTCAGAGGACCCTCTGAGTCAACATACTGCCTGCGTTTGAGGTAGCAGGAAACTGCCATCTGAATCTGTTCTGTGCGTACACGTTTCATGACCTTCGAGAGGAAAGAAAGCAGATTTCCAGTTACTTAAAATGGCAAAAGCATTGAGAAATTATGCAGCACTTCTGTGAAACACTTTTCTTGCACTAGAATCTAGTGGGAAACTAGCACTACAAGAACACCTCTAGTATAAAATGCATCTCTTACCAGTGATAAATGAATGTGATAAATCACATAAGAAATTTTATAAATTAGACTTCAAAAGCATTATGTAAAAGGCAATTGAGAGGAATGGAACTTACAGCAGTGCAGTAGTTTTTTGAATTTTCTTAAGTTTATCAAGCCTAATATGCTTTTAAGATTGTGGGTGTTTTGAGTAAAATTTCAATTCCAACATCAAAGTTATCATCAACACAATGTTTTCCTTCCCATTTTCTACCTTAATCAGAGACTATAGAAGAAATGTGTTTAATACCACTTCACACTAGTGAGAAATTATGCATCTCTTGTATTCTGTGCATTATTAGTACTTAATGCACTGTGGTTATTGAACAGATACTGATATAGAAATAGCCATTCTGTACTATTAATACTGCTTTCTCAAACAACAATATGAAAAATCAAAAGTTAAGTTTTAGTGTTGTCAAGTTTCGCTTTTTTAAGTTTCAGTGGCAGCTGCCAATTTTCAAGTTGAATAAAAATTGCTATTTCAAATGATTTATTTTTCTGTGGACTCTCTCTCTCCCCTGCCACACACACCATTTTTAGATCAAACATCACAGGTCAACAGGTGTCATTTCTGTTGGCTGGAATATTTCATAAAGTTTGAAAGGTTCTATTTTTTTTCTTTCAGATATGGACTAGAAAATATAACATGAAATTTGAGAACAAATAAAGTTCAGTAATACTTATACAGACTGCCAGAGCAGTGCATGAAGTGTCTGAAACTTTTCTATGGATCAACCCTGACCTTTCCTTAGGAAGTGTGAACAGTATTCCAGGAATCCCAGTGTTCCAGGAACATTTTCCATCCAATGACACCAAATCTATATCAGCTTAATTTCAGCAAGCCTGTTACATTGTCTGTCTTTTAGTTATAGCACAACACTGATTCGTATATAAAAGATCACAAGAACAAGTCTTGGAGATCAGCAATATGTACATCACTATGAGTTGGGCTTTTTGGCCACAAATTTCATTCCAATTTCATAGCTTACAAAACAGGCAGAAGTTCCACTGAAATAACTTACTATCAGCTACATTTTTTAAAAAAATTGCTCAATGTACACAAACTTTTTTTTGGCTACTTTGTTAACTCTATTTCTTATCTGGGTGGGGACATATCCCTAGGCCAAATTATGCCTCAGTAGCTCTGGACAGCTAATTCTGCATGACAGAAAAAGTAAGTTTTCTGCCTTTCAATTTAGGCTGAATTTGCAAGGATTATTAAATGGAAACTATTGCCTGCACCCTGAGGCTGTAACTATACTGGCAAGCTGAATCACCTCAATTCGGATTTGCTGTGATTTGATTCACAGCATGTGTTACAGCTGAATTCACAGTCAATGATCACACAGGCACTGTGAATTGATTCAGGAGGTTGGTGTTTGCACTCAATGCAGTGTGATTTGCATGCCAGCCTACAGCCCCCCTTCTTTCCTCTAATCACACATCTACCGATTTTTTTATGGTTTGCTGTCAAACTGCTTGGTTTTGAAAGGGTGGTACTGTAGTCTGGAAAAGATGGTAGTGTTCCAAAGTTCTTCTTAACATGGACGGAAACACCATGTGCCACAAGAATGTCTTTCATTTCACCCGGGTTTTTTTTCTGTTTAGCTTGCAATTACTAAACTAGTATACTTCTATATAAAAAAATAAAAACAACTGAAGGATGATCAAGGAAAGAACATGGTGTCCTTTCCACCTTGTCCTGAATATCATGCCCCAACTGCTTACATCAGTGAAACCCCACCCACAGACACATCTTTACAAGAATGAATAATCTGATCACACAGGGGAAAAAGTCATTTGAACTGTTCTGACTTGAAAAATGTAGAAGCCACCTGTGGCAGAAGGAGAAAAAGCTGTGTTGAGAACAAAAAGGACCAGACTGGCCTTGGTGTTGTGTGATCAAAAACAAATTCTTTGAATCGATGTATATCATAACCACAACAAATCCTGTAGTATTTGATCATGTGGTCACGAACTGAACAGAGGAATTGAAAACTTCATTGCTGTTAGCCCACAGCAGAACAAGCTGGCACTGAGAATGTTTCTCTGTTTCAAGACAGGAATCCTCCCTCCACCCACTAGTGTTCATGCTACCAGAGAATTACACCACCCCCAATGTAAGCAATCAGTAAGAAATCATAGGTACTGACTGACAATCTTTTCACTCATTAGAACAGATGTAGAAAAGCAAACACCATGCAGTTGTTCATTCTATACTGCATAGTTGTTGTGTGTTACAGTATTTCTCCAAGTGATAGGACATTTGTTCACGACCAAAGTACTTAACAGATCTTGCACAAAACTTTCCCTGTAGCACATGGTTATTACAACTACCAGCTCCTGTTCGCATATGTGCATCTTCCTTAAAGTTGTGAGTCTTAGCATCTTCTTACATTGGAAAAACAAGAGCGAAGGTAACCCAAGCAACCGAGGCAAAACATATAGAGCCTCCCTTTAAGAAAGCAATAGCATCAACATTTATAAGTCACCAGCAATTTAATTCATCCACTGCGTCCAAAGGCCTAAAGATCCCACTCCAAAACTCTGGAGATCCGTGCAAGGCTACCGGGAACTCCTCGCTGCCCGCTTTCGCTGTCCACCCCACCCCCAAAGAAAAACCACCTCTCGACCAGATCCGCGCTTCCTCCCACAAGCATCTGCGAAGGGCAACCTTGGGAAGTTCCAGAAGGATGCCCGGGGGTGCTGAAGCCCCGCTCTTCCTCCCGGCGGCTCTGCGTGGTGGTATGGAAAGAAGAGAAGCGGCGGCGGCAGCTGCAGCAAAGGGAGGAGGAGGAGCAGCAGCAGCAGCAGCAAGAGCAGGAGACGACAACGAACTGCCTGCCTGCCTCCACCCAGGGAGGGCCGAGGGCGCTTCCGCGCGCCGCCCTGGGCTCGGCCCGCCCGCCCGCCGGGGGAAAGCAACAGCTAGAAGTGCCAGAAAGGACAAACGCTGGCTCTACGGCTTGGAGACGGGGATGAGCACCGCGCTCTAGAGTCGGACACGACTGGACTCAATGTCAAGGGGAACCCTTTACCTTTACCTATTGTCTTTGCTTTACTGAGTTGGTATAGCTGGCTGGGTTAGAGCAGCCGGGTTGCTGAGAGCTCAAATCCCCGCTCTGCCTCCCAGGAGAAGGGCACGCCGCTGGTGCGCAGCCCGACTCGCGCCCGCGTGCCCTTTCTCCTCTGCCGGCTCCTTCTGCTAACGAGGCTGGCTCGGACGTGCCCGGCGAGCGCTGGCGCGGTGGCGGCGGCGGCTCCCGCTCCCGCTGTGACTGCAACCGCCGCGGCTCGGAGCAGCCGCTCCATGACGGACGGCGAGTGACATAGAGAAGGAGGAGCGGAGGGGCTGGAGCGGAGGAAGGCCAGCGCGCAGGCGCAGCCGCCCGACCAATGGGAAATCTCTTCTTCTCGGCGCTCAGCTCGTCTTGCCTGCGTGCATCCCCTCTCTGCACCTCCGGGTCTCCGCCTTTAGGTCCTTCGGCTCGTGGCTGGCTCGCGGGACGGTGAAGGAGAAGGCGCGAGGAGGTGCCGGAAGGGGAAGCACGTGCGCGGAGAGACCGGCGCGAGGTGGGGGGGCGCGCGGAGAGCGGAGCGTGAACCGCGGGGGGCGAGAGCCGGGTTGCTGAGAGCTCAAATCCCCGCTCTGCCTCCCAGGAGAAGGGCACGCCGCTGGTGCGCAGCCCGACTCGCGCCCGCGTGCCCTTTCTCCTCTGCCGGCTCCTTCTGCTAACGAGGCTGGCTCGGACGTGCCCGGCGAGCGCTGGCGCGGTGGCGGCGGCGGCTCCCGCTCCCGCTGTGACTGCAACCGCCGCGGCTCGGAGCAGCCGCTCCATGACGGACGGCGAGTGACATAGAGAAGGAGGAGCGGAGGGGCTGGAGCGGAGGAAGGCCAGCGCGCAGGCGCAGCCGCCCGACCAATGGGAAATCTCTTCTTCTCGGCGCTCAGCTCGTCTTGCCTGCGTGCATCCCCTCTCTGCACCTCCGGGTCTCCGCCTTTAGGTCCTTCGGCTCGTGGCTGGCTCGCGGGACGGTGAAGGAGAAGGCGCGAGGAGGTGCCGGAAGGGGAAGCACGTGCGCGGAGAGACCGGCGCGAGGTGGGGGGCGCGCGAAGAGCGGAGCGTGAACCGCGGGAGTCGAGGAAGCGTAGCTGGAGGGGATGCTTCCTCCCGAGGAACTTTCCTCGACTTCGCCTGGGTTTCTTTCGCAGGGAGAGTGAAACGGGACCGCCGTCTCTCGTGGCACGCGAGGCGCTTGTCTCGGGGGACAAAGTGCAAGAGAGAAAAGGGTGACGGGGCTGAGGCTTCCTTCAGTGCCCTTCTGCGTGTCGTGACCTTCCCCTTCCTTGATTTTTAATTTGGTACAGAGAAGAAGCTGCTGGCTTAGACACCCGGCTGTGGAGCCAGAGGCTGGGCGTTGGGATCCCCCTCCGTGCCTCCCGGGAGACGCCCCAGCCGGTGTGGCCTTGGGGCAAGCTGCACAGACCCAGGGGTGCCCCCGGAAGAAGGGAGTGGGAAACCCCTTCTGAGTAGTCTTGGCCCAGAGAGCCCTGAAAACGGTCGCCTTAACTTGGGGGGCATGCAATTATTATTGCAGAGAAGGAAGGGAGTTGCTTGCTAGCGACGGGAAAGGCACTTTGTGCACCTTCAGGGGTCTCGTACTCTGTTCTAGCTCTGAGCTGACCGGGCACCCGAGCAGGGATCGTCTCCACTCGCTTGTGAGTTTCTCTATCCGAACTGAGTAGACTCGGATCTGCTTGGAGTGTTGCCTGTGTCCGCTCGCGGAATAAGCGGCACTTTCAACAATCGTATATTCATAGTACTGTACACTCAGAGTGTGCATGTGGGGATAAAATACTCTGTTGTGTGGAGCATTCTTTTAGAAAAAGCTTCCCCAGTTTCCAGATGTGTTGAACTACAACTCCTATGATCCGTATTCAGTTGGGTTGATTACACGTGGATGGTTTGGAAAGTTGTTTCAGAACAAAAATTGCATGCTTTTTTACTAACAGAGGTTGGACCTGCCCTCTGCTGGCAGACTTGCTTTGACATTTTGGGCAGAAACTCAAGGAAGTGTTGCCAAAGAATTTTCCACATTCCTGATTCAGCCCTAAACCAGAAAGGTGGAATGAAAACGTGTGGAAGACTCATTCACCATGATGCACTCTGTGTACTAGAGTCTGTGCCACTCTTGCGCTTATTGTTGCTCTTAACTACAGTGGAGTAAAATGGGAGAGTACGGCAGGCAGTTAGACATAAGTTGAATGTTGGGTTTCATATGGCAGCTTGCTAGAATCAGATGCATTGGAGGAACAGATTCATTATATTTTAAAATATACATGCACCTTATCAAGAATAAGCTTTTGTGGACTGCAGCTCATTTTCAGGTGCAGTTTTTATGCTCTATAAGATGTGCTAGGTATTGCAGTACCAAAGGCTCAGAGTAAATCCATACAACCTCTTTAAGTAAGTACTCTTAGGTGAAGAATAAACTGCATGTCATGAATAACATGCAAATATGTCGCAAATAAACAAATCTTCTCATTTTCAGTTGCCATCTCCATGGCCGCAATTTACTCTGGCATTCACCTGAAGCTGAAGAGCCTAAAGACATCTTGGGAAGACAAGATCAAGTTGGCTCAGTTTGCATGGATTTCTCATCAGTGTTTCGTTCCCAACAAGGAGCAAGTAATGGGTTTTTCTAAACATTTCCTCCAGTACTATTTCAGATTATTCTTTTGCGTGTATGTATCCTTGAGCTACTAGATGCAGTGTGGTTCAAGCAGTTATCCATTTTTAAAATTCAGCTTCAACAAGAAGCAGCTAAAATTACTCTAGAATGGAAGCGATTATTTATTTTATTTATTTACAGTGGTGCCTCGCTTTACGATTGCCCCGCATTACGACAAAACCGCTTAATGACAATCTTTTTGCGATTGCAAAACAATGGTCTGAGTGGGGGAAGTTCGCTTTGCAATGATCGGTTCCCTGCTTTGGGAACCAATTCTTCACAAAACGACGTTTTTTGAACAGCTGATCGTCGGGTTTCAAAATGGCCGCTGGGTGATTAAAATGGCTCCCCGCTGTGTTTAGGAACGGATTCCTCGCTATACAGGCAGCGAAAATCGCTGCCATTTGGAGGATCTTTGCTGGACGGTGAGTTTTTACCCCATTGGAACGCATTGAATGGGTTTCAGTGCGTTTCAATGGGGTTTTTATTTTCGCTTTACAATGTTTTCACTTAACGGCGATTTTCCTGGAACGGATTATCGTCGTTAAGCGAGGCACCACTGTATTTAGATTTATACCCTGCCCATCTGGACCAAAGGTCTACTCTGGGCGGCATTACATCAGTGAAACAAATTTTGTTTTGTTCCACTTTTTGGTAAGATGATGTGGATCACAGGAAGGCAGTTTGTAGTGAATTTGGATTGGAAATGCACACTTCCATGCCTTTGTGTGGAGCCCCCAAGCTCATCAACCCAAAACAAACAAGCAAAAAAAAAAAAAAAGGGAAGAAATTAGAAATATGAAAATCCCAGTTCTGGGCCTTTAAATCTCCTCTGAAACAAGCTGTGGCACACAGAGAGACCTTATTCTAAAAGATTTGAAAACTGGAAGTATGTATGAGTTTTTGACTGGAAATGCTCTTCTTCAGGTTAGTTTCAGTGTAATTTGGTGGGGCTGGTCCGGGCTCTGCCCAAACATTAGTATTCTTTCAAGGAAATTTGAGCTATTACTATATAAATGTCCAATCTCCATCCCCAATTTTTATTGTACAAGCTCTCTCCTAAAAGTATTCTGTACCTTTGAGGATTGGAAAACAGTAGACATGGACGCTTTGCATTTGTATCTAGCGGATATGAATACAAAGCATGGCGCTCACCGGGCTTCGTGTCGCGCACATCATCATCTTGCCGATTGCGGAGGTAGTCTCGCAGCGCTTCCCCATCTCTCCCCACAGCTGACTGCTCAGCAGCTGAGTGGGGAGAGGCAGGGAATGGGGAGTCTCATCTTCCTGCCTCCTCGCTGGAGTGGTTGGCTATGGGGAGAGGCAGGGAGGTCCAACAACGATGTTGATGGATGTGTGCACTGTGCAGAGCCCAGTAAGTGGATTGGGCTGGTTCTGGGGGGTGGGAATGGATTGCCTTGGCAGATGTGGTGCTGTGCTTCATATTCTTATCCTCTGGATAAGAATGCGAAGCACCCATGTCTAGGGTACACTTGTGAGGCCAAGCTGTTCTATTGCAAATGGCTATACCTGTATGTTCCACACGTGAGTTTGTAGAACAGTGTCTGAATGCATTGCTCACTATTTTATTATGATTTCTAATTGTCTAGGAGTTGCCCATGTCTGTACCTGGACCTTGAAGTATCCATAAAATGTTTTTTCATAAAAATTTTTTAATCGTAGAAATCCTCCTGACACCCTCTGCTGACCATAGGGACCCATTCCACCATGTTTTTCTTATTGCTGCTGTTGTACCTCCTGCTGTTGAGCTACAGAAAAGTAGACCTTCCGTTTGAGAGTAACCTGGGAGCAGGTGCAGTAGCATGGCAAAATTGTCCTCTAGAGCAGAGGACCCCAACCTTGGGCCTCCAGATGTTCTTGCACTACAACTCCCAGAAGCCTTCACTAACACCTCTGCTGGCCAGGATTTCTGGGGGTTGAAGTCCAAGAACATCTGGAGGCCCAAGGTCGGGGACCCCTGATCTATAGGGCACCAGGAGACTTTGGCCAAAATGTGGGGGATGGGCATGGACCATACTGTGCTCACCTATGTTCTAAAACCTCAGAGAGTAGACTAGACAATGTTAACCTCGTCTTAACAATGGTCCTTCCTAAGAGTTAGAAGAGCTTACAAGTAAGTTTTAAGTAGTCTCCGGGCAATATTGTGAGCCACCTTGAGCCCTGCACTAAAGAGGTGGAGGTAGAAATAAAGTAAATAAAATTATAGTAGCATATGGGGGAAGGTCTGCCTGGCTCTTAAAATAGAAACAGAAATATTTTATATGCTTCCAATCCTTTTCTTCCATCTATATTTATGGAAACTTTAATCATTAGTATTAATTTATATGTAACATGAATATGTGTATTGGGATCATAGGTCTTACTGGATTGGGTGAGTCATACCCTGGTTTCCTACTACAACAAGAAGCTGGAATTGCCAGATGAAATTGTTGAAAAGCTTTGGATGTTTCTGGATAGTATCCTGCATAGCAGAAAACTGCAAAGGTTTTTGAAGGATGGAAAAACGATCACCCTTCGTTTTTCAATTGCACAGGTAACTCAGTGTACTGGTATATGCATTTCCTTGTTCCTCAGCAAACCATCTAGACTACTTTGAGCCTGCTTAACTTTTGTGGCTGCCCTGTTTTTTCCCTTTTCCTTACACTTGCTGGTCCATCATTTTCTGCTGATCTCTTGTTATCTGTCTGATGCTTCTATCGCAGACTACTTCATTCCTTTATGATTTTTTATATGGGTACATTGCCATGCTTATAGAAGCTATGTGGGCTGCACTCAATGGCGGCTTTGCTGTAGTGGAAGTCAGGGCACCCAATTTTTGCTGGCTGTCTGCTTCCGTCAGCCTCTTTTGCTGTTTTCCAGGGATCAGGCACCATATTGGGATGGGAGCTACATTCTGCCCAGTTCCTCCACAGTCTTTGTGCTGGGTGCCTAAATGTGTGATTGTTACCATCCCACCCTGAACACATCCAGTTTGATTTTGGAAGCTAAGCAGGGTCAAGCCTGGTTAGTACTTGGATGAGAGATCTCCAGGGATTTCCACAGAGGGCTAAGAAAAAACACAGTCTGAAAATATGTTGACAATACTCGACTAGGTGGACCAGGGGTCTTAACTCAGTATAAGACAGCTGCCTAAGTTCCTAAGATCCTTAATTTGAGCGCTGTCAGTGTGGAAAGACAGCAGTGTTCAGGATATAGGTAGGGAAGATGGACTTTGTTTGAATGGCTTGAATACATCTTCAGTAGAAGGCCATAACCATGCAACATGCAAGAAAATATTGTTCATGTATGTGGAATGTTGATTGTAAAGTTAAAATTCTTTTTTCTGCTTCATCTTCAGGTCATAAATGAAAGGCTTTCCACTTCATATACTCAAAAAACACAGAAGAACCTCAGTACATTTCTTAGCTGTTGTCATGGCATCCTTTCTGTGGCCCCTCTTTCTACAGTTTATTCTGCCAAATTTGAGCTGCTGGTGGATCTCCTAAGTAAGTTGTCCTGGCTAGCATGTGGGCAGTTGTCATCAGAAGACACTGTGTCATCCCAGTTGTTCGAAGTCCTCCAGGTGACGTTAGAGCAGTACCTCCTTATTCAGAGGCAGCAAGCCAATGCAAATCGCGTCTTTGGACAAGTGACCAAACATCTGCTTCAACCAAGCTTGCTCCTAAGACATTTGCTTACCACTGGAGGGCCAGCAAGGAAGGATGATGATAGCCGAATGCATCAACATTTGAACAGAGAAATTCGAAACCTTATTGAGAACTTGCTAAAGGCCTCCGTTTTTCAGCCAGAGCTCTTGCCATCCTACAGAGAAGAGCTGTTACAGGAGAAGGAGTCCCACAACCTAAAGAAAAGTGGCCTGAAAAGTCTACTTTTGCCAGCCAGCACAGTCCAGACAGCATTGAGGGATGCTGATTTTTCTCAGGGGGCTTCTCATGGGAAGGTGGTTGCAAATTCAGTACCTCTGCTCTTTAAGCTGTTTTTAGAGTCTTACAGCAAAGCTGAGGACCACCTTGTCTGCTTTCATATGCTCACCAAACTTTTCCAGTGCCTGAGGATCTCTCACCTGCAAGGGGATCTTTGTAGCAATCCTGTTTCTTCATTGGAATGGAGCTCAGAGCTCCTTGCACTGGAGCAGCTTCTTAACTTGGTGCTAAGCAGCGGGATCTATAACATTGCTGCTGATAGGATTCGGCACAAGGAGATCCAGTTTCGCTTTTACCGGCAGCTGGCACAGATGTTAGTGAATTACTCACAGGCTACCATACCTGCCTGGTTCAGGTGCCTCAAGGCCTTGATCTCATTAAATCATTTGATTGTGGAGCCTGATCTGGACGATGTCGTGGCGTCGGCTTGGATCGACGCAGAGATCAGTGAGCAACGTGTGAAAAAGGCCCAGGAGGCTCTCATTGGTACAATCTTCCAGACTTACACTAAGTTACGTCAGTTCCAAAAGCTCTTTGAAGAAGTTCTGTCTGTTGTTTTACGTCCTGCTGCGGAAGAGTTAAGACTCCCGATTCTGCCTGCCGGCATCAAGGCCAAACTCTCTGAGTGCCTGTTGAATCTGCCACCCAATCAGATCTTGGATATTGCATCTCTCATACTGGAGAAATGTCAAACTGTCATTATTCCTGACATCAGAGGTGATGCTGACATGGCTTCGAAGCTTCAGTCAATGGGCACATTGCTCCATGTTGTTCTCTTCTATATGAGAAGCTTAGATGATTCCACCCCCTTATCTGTTGTACGTCGGGCTCAAAGTCTCCTGGAAACAATGCAGAGAGATGTCATCCAAGCTTTGTTCAACCTGCTGAATAGTGGCCAGATAGAAGAAACAGAGCTGGAATTTTGGGCAGAGAAAGTTGGGGACTCTGCCCTTCTCCTTGCTTGTACTTGGATAGCAACAGATGCACTATTCTGTTTAAACTGCAAGCAGTATATATCTCCTCTTGCAAAAACAGCTTTAGCTCTTTCTGATTCCACTATAGACCTCTGGGACTTCTCAGCAGTTCTCCCTGGCTTGGATGCACAGTCCTGGGAAAAGATAATTAAACGTCTGAGATATTCTTGTTCCACGAGTAGATATTGCACAGAATGGCTGGTTCTTCAAAAAATGAAGAAGATGTTGATGATGCATGCCAGCTCTTGTACAGAGGCATCACACCAAACTTTGCAGCATGCTGGAACTTTCATTGTTCATTCTGGAAGGTCGTGTTTGAATAGAGAAGAGCTTGAACCCTGGGATGGCAATGTAGGCACCATAAGTAGTAGCATGTATGCAACTGCACATTGGCACCTGATAGTTTCAAATCTTCCAATTCTGTTTCCTTATCTTTCTTGGAAGGATACTCTATACATTGCAGAAGTGCTCCTGAAGACACTGTTGGAGAACCAAATGCAGACATTTCTTGGTGAGGATGATGGTTCCTTAATCACCATTGGGAAGGTGTCTAAAGATTTGTTGCACAGTTCTCTGCTTCCAGAAATGCATTTGCTGCACTCCTCTTTCCTAACCCATATAATTCAACACTGTGCTCTTGTGCTCTCCCGTTCAGTTCAAAATGTTGCCAACCAACCTCTTCAACACTTGTCTGCAGAAGAAATTCTGTGGTGTGATGTTTTTCCTTCTGGTCATACTGCCAGCATAGTGTCTGGCAATGACCCTTCCTTATGTTGGACAGCAATGGAGAAAGCTGCTCAGAATATATTGTCATTAGTGAACGCGGGGTCATATGTTACTTTGGAAGAAGAGTGCATCAAAAGTCTTTTGGACTTACTTGAGATAGTTTCAAGACTGCAACTGGACAGCCTCTTCCCATTGGACCACACACGGTGCTTCCTTTTGCTCATGTCCTTGACTGCCAATACAAGAGCAAGCATGGCTTGCAGTGAGGCCTTGTCTTTAAAATTTTTAGCAACCTGTTTCCACCTTCTAGCATGTCTGCAAACTGGAAGGCACGCAAAGTCAGCCTTCAAGGTTATGCATGGCAGCGATGTGCTCGAAGCTCTCCTGACCTCCATGTTTGCAGCCTGTGAGAATTTTGCCAATGTCGTGACAGCCAGTCTGTGGGATGAACTTCTGGGCAGCATCCAGATCTTTCTGGAACATTATCTTCAGGTTATTCTGGAAAGGAGGCAGAGTGTGAAACTCAACCTAGAAAAGTTTACGTCTTTCCTGGTAACTTGCCAGACACATGCCGCCAGTGCTAAACAGTCTGAGGTCCGGGGGCCAGAAGCTGAACAGCTCTTTTTAGTGGCTCTAGCTGCCCTGTGTCACACGCTGACTGTACATCTCCAACCACGGCAAGGGAAGGTCCAGGCTTTGGGAACTCTGCCAAGTTTGCTCGAACAAGCTGTGCTGCAGACGGGAGCTGCCATCCAGCTCTGTCTTCGGAACAGGGGGAAAGGCCAACCCTTGCCTTTTGTATTTGTACCATGCCTTATTACCCTCCTCAAAGCGGATTCCTTCTGTGCCCATTTGGTGGGCCTTGAGACTGGAGAGAGTGAGTCAGAAATGTCACCAAAGCCAAGTACATACCAGTCCCTTTCTCACAAGGAACTTTACCAAAGATTTTGTGTTCAGATACTGAGGGAGCTTGACTTGGCAGGTGGCAACGTCCAGTTCCTTCGCTCTGCACTGCAGTTCTTAACTGTCTTCAGCTCCTTGCCAGAGATGTATCCTGAGCAGATTACTTCTGTTGCTGTATTTCACTCTGTCAGAAAACTACTTGTAGGTAAGGATTTATAGCCCTTCTTGATTCCTTGTTCCTGTGTTAACTATGAAGCACGGTGACCTATTTGAACCATTGTGGAGAGTCTGTATAGTAATAATTGAAGTTGCACAAAAGGGTGATGAAAATGATCAAAGGACTGGAGCAGCTCCCTTCTGAGAAAGAGTTACATTGTTTGGAGCTGCTAAACTTAAGGGGGGAAAGCAAATAAGGGAAGATGCACTTGGAGTTGTATAAAACTGTGTGCAGCGTAGAGAAAGCAGGGAGGGAAAAGCCTTTCTCACAATGTTAGAATTTGTGGTTTATTCACTGAAGCTGGATCGTGTGAGACTAGAACAGTTAAAAGAAAGTCCTGCTTCACTCCGTGTGGAATTCACTGCCCCAAAATGGTGGTGACTGCTGCCTTAAATGACTTTAAAAAGAGATTAGATGCATTCCTGGAGATTGAGGCCACCAGTGGCCACTTGTTAAGAGGGCTGTTTAGCACCCAGTCTGCCTTTTCTATATCAGGTGCAGTGAAACATGAAACAGAATTCAGTGTTCTCATGTCCTGCTCTGGGGCTCCATGTGGACAGATCGTTGGCTTATTTAGCTTTGGATCCATAGGGTTTTTTCATTTCCTGCTACAAACCTAGTATTTGGTAGAAATCTGTGCATATGATGAACAATATAAACCATTTGATTAATACTGCACTGGAACTCTACAGTGACTATCGACGAGACATTTTGGGTCACAAATGAATTAAAATGCATAAGATCTGTTTTGTGTAAAAGATTTTGGCAGCAGTTCAGCATCTAACAGTGTTCCAAAGGCCTGAACAAGTTGAATGATGGCTTGTCTTGAATGCTTGCAGGTCATGGAGTCACCATCCAATTGATTCAGGATCTGGAAGCGCAACTGATGGAACTGATTGCTCAGCTGGTGGATAAGTGTTCCACTGATGACTTCTGCATCATGTTGCGGGTGCTACTTGAAGGTTTAGATGTTGAAAACATTTGGAAACAAAATCCTGAAGTAGGGGGATATTTATATTACTTATGTAGCTTCTGTGTCTTTGTACAATTTGCCTATTCTCAGTCCATTCAGTACCCTCCTCTTAACACCTCTTTGCCGCCATAAAATTCAAGACTACAGCATCATGATGTGTAGACCTGAATTTTAAAGCCAGAATCCTGTTGGATTAGCAAAGCACCATCCTGAAAGTGACATGCACTTGTTTATCCTTCAGGTGTTTGACCTTGCCCTGATTGTGCAATCAGTTGCATGGCAAATAGTTTGCAAAATGTGGAAACCACTTCTGCGAATGTGCACAGATTTTTTTCAAAAGGATTCTGGCTTAAATGTGTCAACATTTCAAACTTCTAATGAGTCAAGACAGACTAACCCAGCTTTTTCCAACTGAATTGATATGCATACCCATCATCCCCAGCCACTCAGGTTTGGAATGATGGGAGTTGTAGTCCAGTATCTCAGGAAGGCCCAGGGCATGAGAAGGGCAGGAAACTCCAATTTTTTCTGCTACCAAAGAGATAACCAAAGCCACAGGTTTAGGCCATTTCCTTTCCTGAGCTTGCAATCTCCTGGTTATAAGAGTGACATGCAGAAAGCAATTTTGAAGCTTCTACATATGCCTCTCTTTAATTTTTAGGACCTGACAGAATTTCATGCACAATCAGTCAAAAGTTAGTATAGCTATCCTTCCAAATAGTACTCCTTGCTCTGGGCATTAGACACAACTTGTCGTCCTGGCTTTTTCACTATTGATTTTTGATGCCAAGTGATTTGATCTACTTCTTTATGAGAATGAATAGCACTGAAGCTGGCTGGATAGCTCGGTAACTTGAGAACCTGACTGTGGATGTAAAGACGGGGAATTCAATTCCCCATCCTGGGAGAAGAGCCAGCCTGTATGGCCTTGGGTGAGCTGCGTAGTCCCAGGATGCTCTCAGAAGAAAGGAATGGTAAACAGTTCCTGAGTACTGTACACCTGGAAACTCTGCAAAGGGTCACCATAAATCAGAATTGACGGCACATTACGATGGTGGTGATGGTGATGTCGGTGAAAAGTTTGTGTCTGCTTATCATCTATCTCATAATAGCAGTCCTTGTGATGTTTTTTTTTTGTTACTATAAAGATTTTTTAGTAAAAGAATGGCAGTTGATTTGCAATTGAGCTGTTCCTGATAGGATTTTTTCTAAGCATTGCTTATCTCAAAAATGCGTTCGCTGTTTTGCATAGTTGTTCATAAACTAAATCTTATAACATATAAACTGGCTTCCCTGGTCTTTCTATCATGTAACCTAATTGACACAGTTTTTTTTTTTAGTCATCTAGCTGAAATGGCTTGTAACTTGAAATACGTAAGATGCAAAAGCATTTTATAGTCTTTTTGCCTAAACACCAATATTTGGTGAAGAACAGTGTGAAATATAGCAGGGTGGCCTTAAGCTAAGGATGGATGAACTGAAAACAATGACTCAGTACAGAAAAAGTTGTCTGTACCTAAAGTTCCAGTCTTAAGCATGCCTACCTGGAAGCAAATATGATTGTTTTACTTTACATATATCAGAATCGTAAGCACATAAATCAGTAAACTACTGTTTTATGTCCACTTTTCTGACTCTGTACATGCAACAAACGTAAACAGTTACAACTTGCTTCAGAAATAATTGAATACACTTTGTGTCATAAAACGATTCTGTCTGTATGCAAAGAAAGAGTCAGCCCATCTGCCTTTTCATGTAGTTGTATTTAGCTGATTTCATGAATCTTAACGTGACTAACATTCCCAATATATAAACTTGTTTTAAAAATTTCATGGGGATACTTACTACCATCTTATCTTATTTGTTATATTCCGTCCAGGTAGTATTATCGGCAGTTACTCTAATGAAAGTGTTGCTTGGCTGTCCCTTAAACGGAGAGAAGGAGAAAGCCTTCTGGTATTCCAGTCCCCAGTTAATCACTGCTTTAGTTGTAAGTATCTTGAAAATCAGAACTGAAGAGCCACTGGGGGGAAGAAACCTTGGCAAAAAAGTTACATTCACATTTTAGTATTAGTGTGAGTACAGTACCGCTGCAATCTGTGTGAATGACATGATGTCCAGTCCTACAACAGTGGATGGAAAATAGATTGCTATTGTTGTTATTCTTCTCTCCTTTTTGTTGTAGTGTGATAGGTTGTTGCTTCACTGTGATGTGGAGAGGTAGCACACCATCTTGAAAGAATCAAGAATATGCACAGAATGTGGGCCACGTTCTAATATTCTTGTGGATGATGTGATTATGTCCTTTGCCACTTGTGTGGTCTTAGGCAGGTTGACCAATTTTAGAATGCAATCAGAAAGAGTAAACTACTTCTGAGCACTTTATACCTAAAAAAAACACAAAACCTGGGAGGGTCACCATAAGTCAAAGTCAACTTGATGGCAAATGATTACTATTAAACAGGATATGACGCATGTCTCAGTCCCAGTGATGTGCAACTTCAAAAAAAAAATCAGACAGGAGTAGCATATTTTTTAAACGCATGGGGCAATTGTAGAATAAGACAAGTGAGTGTTAGAGCACTAGGATTTCAGAATAGGGGGATACATAACCACTAGAAACATGAAACATCAGTATTTGCAAACTGGTGTGCATTCCTGGAAACACTAACAAAATGTGAAGTAGAATTCCAGGTACAAAATACCACTGGTTGAGAGTTACCTTAGGGTGCAAGTCCAACTTTAAGATGCCAGGCATATATAAGACTAATATCTGCAAAAGAGCTGTATCCTGTCTGTATTCCCTTCCCCCCCCCTTTTTTTTTATTTTAGCCGTTGCCATGGCGGAGTGGTAACCTGCAGCCTTTGGCTTCATGTCAGAAATCTTCTTCAAGTGTTTGGTTCACAACTCTGTAACAGCTCTCTGTCTCTTTCCCAGCAGACCTTAGAATGTAGAAATGTCACTTTTGCATTACAGTCCGCGGATTTCCCCACCAGAATGAACCATGGAACATGTAGTCCATATAGTAGCTTTTCCAAGTTCAGGAAGAGGGGAGGGTGGTAGCAGAGAAGAAAAGAGGTGGCCTCACCCATTCTTGTTCCTTCAGTCTCTGGCTTGAACTATGCCCACCATTGGCATGCATGACCCCAGACAGATTACCTTTCAGGGAATGAGGCCCTCAGAAGAGAAAGAACAATCCCAAATTTTTGGCCTAAAGTTAGAAACGTATCAACTTTTATCCAGGCAAATGTCAGGTATCAGTAGTGGATATGCATCCATTTGGTGCCCTTGTGGCAAAACCATGTATGTTTCTGAACAGCCTGTTTTATTGTCCAGTTCAAGCAGGAGACTGTGAACAAGCATGCATGCCAGTCCTTTCTCATCCTCACACTTTCTTCCTTCTGACCTAGGTGCTAGCCAAAGAGGCTTCTCAGGATCCAGAACTGCTTCCCACCCTCATTGTACCTATACTGGAGACAGTAGCCATCCTCCTGAGGCAAGGAGAAGGGATTATTTCCAACCCTCACCACGTGAGCCTGGTTTTCACCATTCTTCTGACTGTTCCTCTTGACCAGAGGGACTATGGCAGCATCTTTCTAGGAATTCATGAGGTTCTCTTTTCCATATTGCAGTGTCACCCGAAGGTAAGGGACAAGTTATTTCTTCTGATGGTTTTGTTTTATTTGGCTTTGTCGTTTGATCTGAATCTTTGTAGGGGTCCCTCAATGATTTCTTAGAGGACATAGAAGGAGCACAGTCTGTACCATTCTGTAGGAAGTATAATTTCAAAGAAGCTGACTGGGAAGTTTATAACAATGCAGCTGGGCTTCAGATTGCCCCTTGTCCAGAGGGCTATGATCCATCTGTAACTTCCATTTTGGAATGTTCTTGTGCCTCCATTCCAAGAGGGTGCCAGATCAACTACCTGCATCCTAGGTCTCATTCTGAAAGCATACCTCCAATACTTAGATTTTATGTTTTACACTTCAAAGCAAGTTCCTTTAGTGAACACATGATAAAAGTTGGGAGAAATGTGATTTCAACTTTTGCAGAAATAAAAAGAACTTACTGGATAAATACTGTAACAGATCTTGACATTTCAAGAAGCAGCCAGAAAGCTTGGGGACTACTGAAAAAACTAAACAGTGGCCCAAACTAAAGGACACTGTATGCAAATATAGCCCCAAACCAAATAGTTCTGCAACTACTCTTGGCAGGGGAGACTAATCAGTGCAAAATAGGAATAAAACACCAAAGGGATATTCAAAGCGAATTCAGTGAACTTTCTACTGCCTTCATATTGGTAGATTTAAAGGAAGCCATAGAAAGAGATGCAATGGCAGTAGGACTGGATTGGGCAAATTAAATATTTTGGGCAAAACATGAAGAAATGGTTCCTTAAACTCCTTAATAATTTCTTTGATGAGTGAACAAATTTCAAAAATATGGCTTCAACTTGATGGCACATAACACATGTAATGTATTTGAAATGTTTGTGCTATAATAACCATTGTGATGTGATTTTATTATGCAGATTGTTTTTTTTTAATCCAGTTCATGCAATGTCTTTCTAATTGTTTTCCAGGTGATGTTAAAAGCAGCTCCCTCTTTCTTGAACAGCTTCCACAGACTGGTTATTTCAGTTATGCATGAAGGGAGACAGAAAGGAGACAGAGGTATGTAGTTTTATTATTTTTATATCTTGTTTTTATTTTACACTCTGGTCACATCCTCCTTATAACATGGGCTTCAGAGCAGCCTGGCGAATTAAGGCCACTGACCTATACAATGCAAAGCATCCTGTTTCCTGCAGTGGCCGGCGAGATGCCAGGGTGAAGATCAGGAACAGGACAGGATCCCATTAGTTGCCCTTGCATTTGTTTTCTCCAGCAACCAGTATAGGAAAAAAGGAACTCTGCCCCAGTACAAGAAGCAGCTTACAGCCCACATGGCCACCTTATTTTCCATAAGTTCATCTGGTCCTTTCTAATGGACATCTAGGTTAGCAGATGGTGCTGGTGCATTTTGTAACTATTTTAAAAAAAATCACCATCCTTCTACATTCTGAATCTCAGTTCTATTGAGTGACCCTTGTTTCTAACACACGTGTGGGAGAAAAACACGTCTTTACTTCTCCATATTTATTATTTTATACAGTACATCTTTATCAGTCCCCTCCATTGTCTTTTTCCTAAATTAAGCAGGTCTGAACCATATATCTTCACATAAGAGAGGTATTCCAACGCTTTGATCATTTGGTTGTCCTTGTCTGTTCTCCCCCCCCCCCAGGGTTCTTTGAGGTGCAAGTAACAAGAAATACATAGATTTGTGTAAGCCTAATGTCATCTTGGCTTGTTTTATTTTCTATTTTTTTAAAAGAATAAAATGGGTCAGAATATATATATACAGTGGTGCCTCGCACAGCGAGGTTAATCCGTTCCGGATTAACCCTTGCTGTGTGAAACATCGCTGTACGGAAAGAAAAAAGCCATTGGAATGCATTAAACTTAGTTTAATGCGTTCCAGTCGGCTGATTTACTCACCGTACAGCGATGTTCCTCTATGGCCGGCAGCCATTTTCACGCCGTCCCCTCGCTTAACAAGGGCGCGAAAATGCTGCGTGCGGCCATTTTGGGGCTTCCGGCGGCCATTTTGAAGCCGCGGAACAGCTGGTCGGCGGGTCGCAAAGCGAAGGTCGGTAAGCGAACCGCTTACCGACCTTCGCTCTGCGATTTTTGCCCATTGGGGCCGTCGCGCTGCGATTGCATTAGCGATCGAAAAAACGTCCACGTAGAGCGATTCATCGCTCTACGGGGCACTCGTTGTGCGAGGCACCACTGTATATGACAAAACGTGATCTGCTGCATAATCTTATATTTGTAGACTCAGATATAAGTTCTGTGGAGTTCTACAGAGGTCACTCATTAACAAGTGTACATCAGATTATGAACAAGGGCTGCAGTCCTATAGAACCTAACTTGCAAGTAAATCCCATTCAGTTTTCCAAGATGTACTTTTGAGTCGCTGTGCATAAAATTGCACACTTACTGATCTCTTCAGGCAATGATTCTGTAAGGAAAAGTGAAAGATACTGGGTGGTAAGTGAAGTTAATAGTGGCACGTTTGACAGCAGGACCTAGTAACTGTACCAAAATAATCGCTCCCTGGACACATGTGTTTCTGTTTTTCTTTCCAGAGGGACCACACATGGAAGCCCCATTTTTAATGCTTTTAATTGTGTGTGACTCTCAGGGTTGGTTGCACATGCAAACATTTATACACTGAACTGCTTCAGAACTGGCTGACCAGCCTGCTGATGTTATTCTAAGAGGCAACAAAACTTGAGGATCAGCATAGGAGCATTGAAGTAGCACCTTGCCTTGGTTCTGCCTACGGCAAGGGGCAGAATAGTTGCCAAACGAAGTAAACAGTACTGGGCTAGTTGGACAAAGAGTATAGCTCATGATAAGGCAGCTCCCTGTGTTTCTTCGTGTACTCCTGTGACTAATATTTTTCCATGAGTTTGAAATCACAGAATGATCTCACACATGCAGTCTGACATGAATAACCTGCCCCTTTGAAGTATAAACTCTCCATTCCCACATGGGTGTGTCTCTGGCTGGGGAGGTCAGTACAGTGTTTGGTATTACAGCTCAGAATCAGCCCAGAATAGTTGGTTCCTCTATAAACTGGACTGATAGGTGCAGGACATGGAGGCTCCTGTATACATACAGTAGCAGCAGAAGTGTGCATTTTTAGAGTATATATTTTAATTGTATTTTAATTTGTGTTTTTTTTTTTAAAAAAAAACTGTATTTTAATTGTTGTAAGCCGCACAGAGACCTTTGGGTAGTGTGGGTGGCATATAAGTTAAATAAATAAATAAATAAATAAATCTGTTCAGAAATTTGAAATGAGTGGGACTGTTAGGAGCACACAAGAATTCCGTGAAGTCATCAGATTCATGTACTTATGAATAGAGATGGACACGAACTTTGGTTCAGAGGTTCGTGCTGGTTCATACACATGGCACCACAGGTGTTGCACTTTCCCTTCCTCTGCCTCCCTGGCCAATGATCCACTCACCAGTCAGAGTGCACCCCTCTCCTGCTCCTCCTCAGCGGTACAACCAGTCCCCAGCAGGAGTATGGGTTTGTCTGTCCTGCCTCCTTGTCTGAGCAGGCAGTCAGCCAAGAAGGCGGGGCAGGGAAGCCCATGCTCCTGCCTGGTTGAACAGCCAACGAGAAGGAGAGGAGAATGTGCCAGCTGGTGAATGGGTGATCCAGCCAGGGAGAAGAGGGAAGGGAACACACGGCACCTGTGGTGATGCACTTACAAACTAGCACAAACCTACAAACCAAGGTTCATGCCCATCTCTACTTACGAACCTTCCAGATGTAACTCCCAGACATTTCCCACATAGAGTGGTGCCTCGCTTTACAACATTAATTCGTTCCAGCGAAATCGCTGTAGAATGAAAACGTCGTAATGCGAGAATAAAAAGCCCATTGAAACGCATTGAAACCCCTTCAATGCGTTCCAATGGGCTTAAAACTCACCGTCCAGCGAAGATCCTTCATAGGGCGGCCATTTTCGGTGGCTGTCCCGCGAGGAATCCGTCCCAGAAAACAGCAGGGAGCCATTTTATTTACCCGGCGGCCATTTTGAAACCGCCGTTCAGCTGGAGGAAAATCGTCGTTTTGTGAAGAATCGGTTCCTGAAGCAGGGAACCGATCATCGCAAAGCGGAAAAAAACCATTCAGACCATTGTTTTGCGATCGCAAAAAGATTGTCATAATGCGGTTTCGTCATAATGCGGGGCAATCGTAAAGTGAGGCACCACTGTATATTTTATAGGAAATGGTTGACTCTATTTTCTGCTAGTCCACTAGTAGGCAATGTCTGGCCCTCCAGATGTTGTTGGACTTCACTGTTGGAAGTGTTGGCTAAGGCTGATGGGATTTGCTTTTGGAGGGTCCCATGTTCCTCATCACTGTTCTAGCCCATAAGCCACAATCTGATAGCTATTTCAGCATTTCAAGAAATCTGTTTGGAAATTTTTACTGATGAATCAGCTAGAAGCCAGCCCTGTAAAATTTCTTGTTTATGTAGTTAAGAAAGGATGTATTATTGGCAGTCTTATCCTTACCTGGTAAGTGTAATTTCTCCTTATTCCCTTTATTTCTCTGATTTCCCTGTTTATGCATTCACCACCAATTATGGCTTGATTCAGGAAGCTGCAGAAACCTTCTTGTGGTAGGTTCTTGGTTGGCTGTTAATGCTCCCATGTTTTGCAGTTTAAAAGCACTGCAAAAGATATATTTTTTAAAACATATGTATTAATATCTGATTTTACTGTTTTTCTAAGGGAGAACAGATGATTTTGACATCATTCTGAAATGTGCCCAGTTGGTGGAGCGAATGTATACTTACATTGCTGCGAAAACAGAGGAATTCACTGTATTATCTGCCTTCATTGTGGCACAGTATGTGATAGAATTGCAGAAGGTAATGACCATCTTTTTACATGAAGAGCGTATTATTTGCTTTTGAGAATTGAAAATAGGAGGCTATTATGACAGTGAAAGATTACTTCTATGGAGATGTGAGTGCTGAGCCTCCTGCAGAGCTTCCTTGTTGGTAATTACTGCCAACTTTCTTTCATGTACCTCTGGAGAAATTGGTAACTTCAGCCTTGGGCTGCTTGTGAAGGGATGTGTTTTTATGGGAAGGAGAAGAATGGAAGGATTAGGGGGCAGCCATCAGAATTGCTCAGGGTAGAGAAAAATATGGCAGGGATGAGCAGCTTCATCACCATGTGAGAGGGAAGGGCAAGAGGCTATTGGTTGCCCCTAAGTTGTCCCCAAATTTAAATTGCTTGGATACCCTTGGTGACAGGACCCCTGGGCTGAAAGTACTGCTGCTAAATGTCAGGTCGGTAAATGGGGAAACATCAGTCAGCTAGCCATGCCTTGGCCCTTCATGAGCATGCTGACCTGGCTTGCATTACAGAGACTTGGTTGGATGAGGCTGGGGGTCTTAATCTCACTCAGCGTTGTTCACCAGCATTTTCTGTGCAACAGCTGGCAAGACCAGGGGGGCAAGGAGGTAGTTGCAGCGATCTGTTGTGATTCCATCCCTCTCACCAGATGTCACATTCCCCAGTTGCCCAGGTTTGAATGTGTGATTCTAAGAGTAGGCGCCTGAGATAGAATAGGGACTCTGTTAGTGTACTGTCCACCCCGTGGCTCAACTGCGTCCCTTTCTGAGCTAGTCTGGGGGGTGGTGTTGGAGCCCCCTCAGCTTGTTGTGCTGGGGAACTTCAGCATCCATGCTGAGGCAGCTCTGTTAGGGGTGACTTTGGACTTCATGATCTCTGTGATGGCCATGGGCCTGTCTCAAATGCTTCTGCCCCCACTCATGCTGCAGGGCACACTTTAGACCTGTTTTTCTCAACCAGGGTAGATGCTGGTGACCTGGTTGTGAAGAAACCCTCTGCAGTTTCATGGTCATGGAACCTCCGACCCAAATACCTAAACCACTGAACGATCCAGCTTTTTCAGCAGAATTTTCATTTTCATTTTAAAAAAACAACAACGACAAAGGGTTATGATGGAAAAGACATGCATAATCCCATTTCGGTTCTCTCGCAAGCAACTGAGATTGCAACACTTTACTGGCAGGATTGTCTTTCCTAAAACCTATCTTGACTGCTACTTGTTAATGTCAGAACATTACAGTGGTGCCTCACAAGACGGGCGCTCCGTTTAATGACGAATCCGCATTACGACGAGGTTTTTGCGATCGTAAAAGCGATCACAAAACGGTGTTTTGAATGGGGGAATTTTGCTGCGCGATGATTGGTTCCCTGTTTCGGGAACCGATTTTCGCTTCCCGACGATCCAAACAGCTGATCGTCAGGTTTTCAAAATGGTCACCGGGTGATCAAAATGGCTCCCCACCGTGTTTAGGAGCCATTTTTTGCTGCACAGGCACCCGTCAATGGCCACCCCTATGGAGGATCTTCGCTGGACGGTGAGTTCTTAGCCGATTGGAACGCATTAACTAGGTTTTAATGTGTTTCAATGGCTTTTTTATTTTCGTTTTACGACGTTTTCATTCTATAACGATTTCGCTGGAACGAATTAACGTCGTAATGTGAGGCACCACTGTATTTCTTTGTTCTTTCTACAAATATTTCCAAGGAAAATAGCACCTTTATGGTTTATGACTAATTTAGAGGAAGATTTTACAAAAGGAAATAGTTCATAAATTGAATGGTTAGTTTCTTAGAACCCCATTAATAAGATGCATACTATTTCTTTAGTAATAATAGCTTCATGGCTACCTTGGATGACATACTTGGAGTGTTTTATCCTTTGAAGCAGCTCCCTCTTCGCCGCCACTGTTATAGTTAGTGGTTTGAAGTTCACTTCATTAGAAAACAGTTTATTACTTGCCTGAGGAAGTAAAAGGGAAAGCCTGGATTTTAATGACAGACTCTTGTTTAACTTCCATCATTTTAGAGAATCAGGTCTGGCAGTTTGAAGCTAATTTGGGCTTTTTGGGAGGGGGAGGAGGTCCCCGTCACTGCCTCTCTTTAACATATTTCTGTGAGGATTTAATCACTGGTATGAAGTTTTAAAGTCACTTGTATTCCCTCCAGGTGACTCTGCACCCACTTGTGAAGAAACATCTAACTGAGGGAATTTATCACATCTTGGATCTTTGCCTTGAACGTGACATGAAGTTCTTAAGCACATCTCTACCAATGGGAGTGAGAGAAGTTTTGAAGGAGTTGCATCGCGATTACACACACTATCATAAAGCTCTGAAGCAAGGGGATGAAAAATACACAGCATGAACATTTCTTCCATTTGTTCTGGAGGTTTTTTGAGTGATAAACAGATGTTGCTGTATGGGTTTCTGGTTTGGTCACTTGAGTTAGTGACTGAAATCCAGAAGCAGCACACATCTAGACAGGCATGCATGGAACTTCTCCTCAGTATGAGTGACTGAGTCAAACCTATGCTTTCCTCTGGATGGCGAGCAGAGCCCTGTACTCCATTGTCAATGAGGTAGTTCTGAAATGTTTAGGGTGTGCCAGGGCAGAAACTGAAACAAAGCCTTCTAGATATTTTTGACCTGGATTTGGCTTTACACTGCCTGGTGACAAGAATTTGAGAACTCCTTCCTTATGCCTCTAGAAGAAGGCAGCTCTGCTTTTTTCTTTTTTCTTTTCCTTTTTTTACAGACTGTATTTGTACATGCTAAACAACAGGAGAAAGACCATTTTTGCTTTTATATCTACTCCAGATAGCTCTTTTTGTGCTGCAGTTGTACAGTGCTGTTAACTATTAAATCTAAGAGAGCTTTGTTTTTTAAAAAAATGAGTTGTATCTCTTCTGCCTTCTAAATGAAGGGAGGCAAACTCTGTAGGGCCGGGGGCTGTCGAGATGCATGGGGACTTTACTCCTGGGGCGAGCCATGGCCAAAGTATACTTGAAAGGGAACTGCAAAAGCATTCTCATGATGATGAATTAATAATTTATTTAAAATCTCTTAAATACATTTATGGAAAATCCATTAAGTATTTCATTTTATCACAAATCTATTCTGATCAATTGTACATCAATTAGCTTACTAGGGCACCACAGTCTCAGATATTGGAAAGAGTAGCAGGAACAGGAGTGACGGTACTTCCAATATAGGCTACCGTAGGCTATAAATGTGAGTTGATGGAAGACGGAGCATAAAAGAGACTTGGAGAGGGCATGCATATAGAACACATGCCAAGCAATAAAATAAGAAGTGTAATGATGTGAAGGCAGAGAAGGCGGACTGAAGCATGAATATCAAAAGATGCTAGAGTTGTATCAGTTGCAGTTAACTGTTGAGGAATCATATGCATAAAAAGGCTTTTTTCAACATCACTCTTTATTATGGTCACTGACCAGCAAGATTATAAAAAGACAGAACATACAGAAAACTCCCATATGGAGTATATGAATCCTTTTTTCCAAGGTGATTGCAACATTTTCTCTCTAGTTCTCATAGCAATCAATAAAGATTTAGACATCCTGTCAGTAATACAAGTGGACACACCCTCTAAACAGGACAGTAACGAATCTGTAGGGCTACAGTGGAGAGAGACACCTGTTAGTGGAGAGATTAACTTCATCATGCATTCTGCACTGAAAAATAACATGTTCAACTGATTTGATTTCTCCATTTCCAGAAGGACAAGTTCGGTCATTAAACGGAATTTCCCTAGGCTGTTTTAATGGGGTAACAAAAACACATTAAAACATTTTTCGGAATATAATTCTAATATTTAATATGATGGTTGTACTTGCACCCGAGCAATAAATAAATGTTGAAAACCTTTGTGATGCTATTTTCTAGAAAAAGAGCTGTAACTAAAATTAACCATGGTGACCCCCAGAAGAAACTTTGTGACCCCCTTGGGGGTTGCAGCCCATAAATTGAGAACCTGTAGGGTAGGCAGATGCAGCGAGTAGTCTAGGTTATTGAAGTCAATTGCTCAGACAAGTGGAGCTTTTGAACTCAATACCAGAATCCAATAGGTTGCACCTCCAGTAGATCCCACTGCTTACGTCACAATTGGCAGACCACCTGTCCTTCTCTGTCCCCCTAAATACCTGCTCTAGAGGGCTAGAAAATGCTCAGGGGGGTTTCTTGGTGCTCATCTTGAATATTGAACTATTGATGCATGTGTCTGACATTCTGGTCTAACACTTTGTTGCCTGGCTCTCTGTTCTGTATTGCTATCTTTCAGAGATCTTTGGTAAGAACTGCTTTTGCTTAACTTCTGCTCTCTTGTGACTACAGCATAAAACCACATCAATTCAGCTTTGATTATGTAACCTCTCTCACATGGCAGTATGATAGCTAGAGATATGTCGACAAGTGTTTTTCGGACTACAGCCCCCAGTATCCTGAGAGTTATTGTCCTAAAACATAGATTTACATGTTTCTAACAATAGCGCAAAAAAGGTTGAGGACCAAATGGCAGTCAGGGCTTCCCAGGTTCAGCCTTCCTTTCTCTTCAGCCACATTTGGAAGCACCAAGACAGGATGATAGGATGGTAGTGCCAATGGGAGTGCAAGGGCAAAGAGAGGAAATGGAGTGAAGAGCTGAGCAAAAGGAAGAGGAATGTCCTATACATGTAGAGTGGGTAAGAGCATGCAGTTTTCACTCCACTCCAGGAAAAAGGATCACTAATCATTCATGTGTCACTTTATGTCTAGAAAATGCAGAAGCAGGTGATATCTTTATTAGACCACTAAAGAAATGTTTTTTTAAAAAAATGTTCAATGTTAATCTGTCTTCCTTTGGCTATGCATCAAGATTTGTGAATAATTTAGAAAAAAAAATATGAAATCTGTTTCTTAAGGTGAGTTCAAATGCAGGCTGCAAAAGTGGGTGGGGGTATGGTTTCAAGCTCCACCCCTGGAACAGCTGGCTAGATTTCTCATCCCAGTTCTAACAAAGAACCACTGAATGATCTGTATCCCCCTCCCAACACACACTTCCCCTTCTTCATCTCTAGAGAACTAATTTGTCCGCCTGTTTATGCCACAGATAATACTCCTCCTTGTACTTCTCGCAATACTCCTTTTGGTAAGAGATGAGTCAAGAAACCTTGATGTTCCAAACAGTTTCCTCATCTTTCTGTTTGAGTCATTTCATCAACCATAAGCAAACCAGAGGAGTGAGTGAATCATTCTAGCTGCTACAAGCACTCAGTGGCTAAAGCTGCAGGTATTCAAGGAAAAAGGATGGTAAACATATATAGGGCTCCATCAAACATCATGCAAGCAGTTGTCTTACATGATGGGTTTTCTCCTTTCTGTCCCTCCTGAGGGGGAATCCTGATTGTTCCAGAGTCCTGATCCTCTTCATATGCAGGCTTAATGGACAAGCGGCAGACAAAGTGGTCTCTGCAGATCAGCAGTGAGATCATAGCCATGCAATAAAAGCCAGAATAGATGACCCAGAGCAATTTCCTCATGATGACGAAAGTAATGCCAAAATGTAAGAGGTTTTGCAAACATGCACCATAGGGTGTTATGTATTCTTGGTGCTGTTGCATGGAACAGAACTGTGGATTTTATTACAAATTAGTAAAAAAAAAAAAAAACCAAGAAGAAGCATTTGAAATGTCAATTTATTGCAGAGTTGCAGAGTGCTAGAAGAAGACAGTGGCCAATGAAGACGGCTGGATACTAATTTTACCGACCTCGGAAAGATAGAAGGCTGAGAGTGGCACAGAATGAAATAGGGGCTGCCCTAGAACAGTGTGGGACAGTGCAAAACAGAGGCGCCAAAGGGAGTACAAGCGTATTGAAGAAGCTACTTGGATGAAACGGAGAAGTCTAGTTTCCATGACTCAACTTCCAGATAAGCCTACTCCTTTTACTCTTCCGTGGAAACAACACATTCACTGTGAAAGCTTAAGCCCATGGCAACATTTCAGTTTCCTCGCAAGAGGGAGCCATTGTCAAAAGTCCACTTTCAAGCCACAACTGGAATACTGAGGGAAATGAAATTCTTTAAAGAGGGGTCTGGTCACAAAAAAAGAGAGAGAATAATAGCATAACATCAGGAGGGAGGGAGGGAGGCAAAATATGTTAAAATATATCAGCCACTTTCCTAGAGTTGTTTGGAATCGACCTAGATAGATATGATACTGAGAGACCTGGCAGACTAATGCTACCTTGAGTGGACTGAGGCTGCCCTCCATACTGCACCCCCACCATCATTTATTTCCCTTCCCATTTCCTGCTTTTGTCTGCTTTGCATTTTATTCTGACTCTTATTTGCATAGTTGTAAGCATGAGTGACCTGTATGCCATAGAAGTAGTTGTAGTTTTATGTATTGGGTTGCCAAGAAGGATTTGGAGAAAAAATGCTAGGGAGGAGAGATTGGGCTAGAGTCAAAGCAAGAGATTTTATTTTTATTTATTGTTTGCTGTATCTTTAAATAAAAAAAACAGTAAAAAGTTGTTGTTTTTTAAATTAAGAATATGCGTTCCTTGTACAGGATTGCCATATATATCCTGGTCTAGTGGGAAAGCTTAATTCTATTGCCATTTTAGTCAGTGGTGAGTGATAGTAACTGAGGAGGGGAATGGGCTGGGGTGAAGGGTGAATTAATGAACCTTGAAACCAGAGAGCAATATTCACATGAAGAAACTATGAGATAAAATAGCCCAGGGTGGATTTTGCTTCTTGCGTTGCCAGTTTTCGAATCATGTGAGTGGGTGGTGGCACGCATGTGAAACTCCATGTGGAATACAACAATCTCTACTCACAAAGAGCTGTTTATGATTAAGGCTCAGTTGTTTTATGGAGGAGAGCTGCTGCTCGCTCTCAGTTGAGAAGCCACCGTTGAGAGTGAGTGGCTAACAACCTCAGCAGTGAGCCAGACAATCTGTGGTTGAAAATTGCCCTCTGCCATAAGGTGCTGTGGTGCTAGTGGGCAAACTTCCATTATTTGGGGACAGAAGCAGACCCAAGAGAGGACTTCGGATTGGAAGGGGGAGATCTTTAACTAATGAAAACCCCTTGAGGGTCACAACAAGAGAGTCTCTCATCTATGGAATTAATGCAGATGAGTTATTTTTCTTAATATTTGGTCTTCAGGATTTAAGCATGGGAAGCTTTTTAGGCCCGACTTCAGATGCAAACCCAAACGTGTCTCAGTCATCTCTCAGGAATATTAATGTGCGTTCTGGCCTCTTCTTCCCTTCTGTAGCCTGAGGGAATAATATTTTTAAGGCTGTCCTTTTCCAATCTAAACATTTCTACCTGGCCTTTCTTCCATTAAGCAGCTAATAACAAAGACACATAGAACAGGAAACTACATTTTGGAGGGGTGCAGAAAGCCCATGATTGTTCTGTACAAGGGCATAAAGATCAGGGCCAACCCACCCCATACACTTTAAGAGGTATTCCAACCCATTCTGTCCTCAGATTCATTACATTATCTCTCTGCGTCCAGATACCCAGATTTAAACAGACAGACAATCAAATCCTGTGAATTTCTCAGTGGCCACTCCAACCACTGAGGCGCTAAAGAGGGTTCAGAGTAAGGTGTGCAGTGTAAGTGTAAAAGTATCTGTAGATATGAGAAGAGTTTTGCCAGGGATTTTTCAAGCAGCATTCTTGACTAGTTTCCATACAATTGAATGGGAAAATAATACAAATTAGAGCAAACATACCTGTTTGCTGACTATCTTTACCTTTGTAGAATTTCACCTACACTGTGGTGGGAAGCCTAATGCTCAAAGGTGAATTCAGCCTTCTAAGGATCCAAGCTGGCCTTCTGGGATTCCCAAAGCAGCCATGCCTCATTCTTCAAGATACCATCATCTGGAGGATTTTCAAGCTTTTGCACAATGCCCACCACCCTTCTAGAGAACTGAAACACCTCTCATAAGGTTTAGTTAGTGGGAGGAAGAACTGAAAGCCAAAGGTTGCAGGTACTTTCAACCCCATTGTTCTAGAGCAGTGGTTCCTAAGCTTGGGTTCCCAGATGTTTTTGGACTAAAACTCCCAAAAGCTGTGCTGGCCAGGATTTCTGGAAGTTGTAGTCCAAGAACATCTGGGAATCCAAGGTTGGGAAAAACTGTTTTAGAGCTTTCAGTGTATTCTAACTACATGGAGTATTTGTATGGGAAAAATCACAGCCTAGCGAAATGTGGGTAGATATTACCATGGTTGCACAGCTGTATTTTCCCTCAACCATTTCTGTAGTGTTCCAAGATTTCTTTCAATTGCACATTCAGGTGACATTTTTGTTTGAATGGCAAGCCTGTCCCTAACATTGGACAGAGTAAGGCAGCTGATTCCTCATAAAAGTGCAGTGGATGGTTAGTTATTAAATATTTCTATTCTAGTTTTACCTAGAGAAAAGCTTGATGAATGTTGTGGGTCAGGTGCCAAAATAATTCAGTACCTTGACTTTGCTGCGGAGTGTGGCATTTGTAAATCTGCCTCAAGCAGCAAAAGAGGGTGGCTTTTTTATACATTGCCAGAAAAGAGAACAGAGACTTGCATTGAATTGAGATGAGCTAATTTATGTGTCCAGATGCAAATTTAGAAATAACTACAGTATTTGAAATAAATATGTCATATGTCTCGCAATGATGGGGAAGACTGTGGTCAGGTGAAATGTGTGCCTGCTCAGTCAGCTATGCAACTGTTGATTGGCAATTTTGAGGCCACTCCTGCCCTTTCTTACATTATACTGAGCAGAATCCTTTTTATGCAGACACGAAGTTAAGTTCTGCCTGGCATTATGACTGGCAACAGGGAATTGTGCAATTTG